AGTAATGATGTTTTTGACATTGCACTCTTTATACGTCTCGATTCTGCAAATATGCAATAATAAAGTGTGATTTTTTGATAAAATCATTTCTTGCCATGAATGTTAGCTGATTATTGTATTATTAATAATTATTTCCCCGGTTTAATCCCCTTTCTCACCGAAAATCCGCGGACGAACGCCAAAACCTCCATCCTCTGCCAATGACCCGCCGCCATGTTGAATGTGCGCGGAGGAGTTGCGCAATAGCGAAATTTGGCATTCCACTTTTTAGAGGTGTAGGCTTCATAATATGCCCTAATAAAGTCTGATTACTTGATAAAATCACTGCCTGCCATGAATATTAACTGATTATTGCACTATTAATACTAATTTCCCGGGTTTAATCCCCTTTCTCACCGAAAATCCGCAGACAAACGCCAAACCCTCCATTCTCTGCCAAGTGGCCAGCCGCCATGATGAATGTGCGCGGAGGAGTTGCGCAATGGCGAAATATAGTATTGCACTTTTTACCGATCTGGGCTTAATAATATACCCTAATAAAGTCTGATTTCTTGATAAAATAATTTGCGGCACTCAATATTACCTGATTATTGCAAGATTAATAAGTATTTTCCCGGTTTAATCCCTTTTCTCACCGAAAATCCGCGGACGAACGCCAAAACCTCCATTCTCTGCCAGTGGCCGACCGCCATGATGAATGTGCGCGGAGGAATTGCGCAGTTGTTTTACTTTTCATATGGTATTCATATATATATATATATATATAGGGGGATTTATAATCGATAGTTATATACATATTAATAAACTCTCGTTTATTAATTGTCATTCTTGGATTAACTTTTGCATGATGCCTCTGAGGATTATGACACGCCATTTCGTTGATATCGTGATTAAACTGCAAAAAACGCTTTGGGGCGAGGGTCAATTTACACATAAATATATATATATATCAACCGCCTGGAGGGGACGATCAGCTGTTTGCCAAGTGTTCTTTCTCATCCTGCAATCGCATTATACATATTATTGATACGTATATGGAAGAAACAATTGACTTATTCACCTAGACTCATTGAACAATTGTTGAATACCCATCGCCAATGGAATCCAATTCCTCGGTGGATCATTTCCACCATAATTTCATGAGGATAACGAAAGAACTATTGACACAAACCCAACAGAGGGTCACCGACAAAACGACGATTGATTTTTACCTCAGGGAACTGAATATCCTAAATTATCAGATGTTCATCATTGAGGACGACGACACTGTCAAATTACTGATCAACAGATTATGCTTGAACATTCAGGTAAATTCACAGAACAATAACAAACAACTAGAATTGGCAAATTAAACTTATTGAGAACACATTTTTAATCATCACTAACTTGAGACTGGCAGCAGAGTGAAATTGATGGAATTAAAAAAAATTGTATTCTTCTATTTTGAAAATTTACGGGTATTTTTACAGGCTTGAAAATGAGTTGTAGTTTATTGAAATTGTTTCGTTAGATATTAGTCATTAAATATTAATCAATTTCTATAGTTTGTTTTTTATAGCTGGTCTCCTCTCCTAATCTCGAGCGATTTGTTTCTTTCTCAGGCTCAGGAGACCTCCCTAGTTTCCAACTACTGCACTTTCCTCACTCACCTGCTCCCCCAGGTGCCCCCCCTCGCCGGGAGGACCCTCTCGACCCTGAAGAAGTGGCTCCACCAGTGCCTGGAGTTCTCCTCATTTCCAGCACTAGTCCCAGCCCTCCTCTCCCTCGAGAAACTCGTCTCAGTAATCCCCTGGGAGTCGAGCCTCCAGGACCTGGACGTCCTCCTCTCCTCTGAGGGTCTCCTCCCCAGGTTTTTCACTCCCTCGACCCCCCTAGACATCCAAAACCTCGCTCTGACCCTTTTGGAGAGCCTTTTAGAGAAGAAAAAGGAAAGAAATTCAATTTTCCCGCTGAATCACCTAATGACCATAAAAAACCTCGTCATCTCTATCCTCTCCTCTCCCCCCAAAGATGAAGATTTCGCCCACCTCCACCACTCGAGACTCATCCTGACATCCTTAAACATCCTCACTAGCTTGATCGTCCAGGGACTACTCTCGAAATGTCCAGAACTCCCAGGGGAAGCTCTAGGCATCACTCAGATCTATTTATTCCTGGGAATTGCTGGGGTTCCTCTCATTAAACCTGAGGAGCTTCATCCAGCTATTATGAACCTTCCTGAGAGGGTCCATTTACCTCCAAGGGGGATGATTCGAAACCCCAGGCCGATAACAAAATCAAAGCACAACAAGAAAGGAAAATTGAGCAACAAGAACGAGAAGCAGGAGAAAATATCGATGGATTTGGATAAAAGAAGAATCATCAAGTCCAGTGATTCAGAGACTTCTGATGGGGAAAAGTGCTCTCAGGAGAGGAGCAGGAGGATTCAGGAGAGGATCAGGTATCAGGCACTTCAAGTGCTCCACCAAGTGATGAGGATGATGACGAGCAAGAAGATTTTTGGCTTTTGGTCGCAAATTGTAACCAAGAGTGAAAAGTCTGGGGAGAGCCGGGGATTGTTGAGGGTTGTCATGAAAGAACCGGTGTCCAAAATCAGGGGGAGTGCTCTGGGTGTGTTGACTGATGCTGTGGTCGATGCCAGGATGTTTCTGGTGCATGCTGACGAGACTGAGGGCTCCTCGTTCGGGACCATTTTTGGGACGGTGGGTGGCATGTTGAGGGAAATACATTCGGCCCTGGGGTTCGTACTCAGTGGCGATGGCAATCTTGCGGTGGTTACGCAGGCCTTGAAGTGTTCAGCAGCTCTTGTGCAGGTGACACCTTATGGGAGGATGAAGGAGGGACTCGCTAGTAAGCTTGCAAGACACTGCAGGTGAGAGATTTAGTATAGCTGCAGGTGATGTGGATTTTTCCCAATTATGTCAATGAATCATTGCAAATTTCAGATACTTTGTGCTCCACAAGGACCCAACCGTTCGAGTAGTCGCCCTCTCCGTCTTCGAGGGCTTTGCCAATGTCGAGAACATGACCCCAGAGATCGTTGAGATCCTTTTGAGAAAGGCTGGCGACACAAATATCTCGAAGCGCTTGCTCCAAAGCCCCCAAATCACATCCCCCCACCCAAAATCACAAGCCCCAAGTGAAAACGACGAAGAAGAGATTGACTCTTCCAATCTCGAATTCTCTCTGAATGATCCTGCAGCCCCAGCAACAAGTGAGCGAGACTCGAGGACTGAAACTCGAGGCGACTCTCGAGATTCTCCATTTCTTGTCCAGATCTGCCTGAACAACATCTCGGACAAGAGAATTCACGTACCTGTCAGACTGCAGTCATTCAAACTACTTGGTGCCCTGATCAACTGCCTCGAGGGGATTTTCAAACGTCTCTTGGATGTTGAGATCGTCACTAGCCACCTGGTGGAGGCCACTAGCGAGCCTGACCCCCAGGTTGCTCTTCACGCTTGTAGAATTCTCGAAATTATCAGTTCTAAATTCAGTGGCATTGATTCTGATTCTGAGGGACAAAACCAACTTGCCACCTTTTGGAATAGCATTTTTCCTACTGTTCTTAGGGTTTCCCAGAGTGCTGAGACCGGACTGAGAGAAGTCGCTTGCGACTGCTTCGGGACAATCAGTAATCAAGTGTTTACACAATTGTCAGTGAGTAGAAATTCAGTCAATCTCATAAAATCCCACAATTGTAATATTACTGGAAAAAAATCAATTTATAACTCTTGACAAAATATTTTTTTAAAAATAATTAAATGACCTGGAATTTTAATAAAAGACAAACTAGTCAATGATTGAATGGTCATTTCAATGTCAATTAAGATTAACTGAATTAAGCCCTGAATTAACTATTAAAAACTTGAATCAATGACTTTGACAGCTCGACAAGTCCATAATAATCAAGACGAGCCTCTTCGGGGCCTGCAGGGATCCCGAGTCCGCAGTCCGAGCCGCAGGCCTCCGTGCCCTGGGAATGCTGATAAATCTTTGCTCCCTCGAGGAGGACACCGGCTTCCTAGAGGACCTCATCGATATTGTCTGCACGTCCCTCGCCGACGAGAACCTAGGAGTCAGGGTCAAATCAGCCTGGGCCCTAGCCAACCTCACAGACTGTCTCATCAAGAAAGTCATCAACAACCAACTCGAGCCCCCCCTTCCCCTGGACCTCATGCTCCCCAATCTCTATAAAACAAGTGTCAAAGCAGCCCAGGATAATAACAAAGTCAAGTGCAATGCCCTCAGAGCAGTTGGAAATCTTGTCCACCTCTCCCAGGGAAAAAACCTCCTGGGGGATATTCAACTTGCTCTTGACGTCCTCATCTCCTCCGCTACCTCTGGAAATGATATGAAGGTCCGGTGGAATGCCTGCAGGGCTCTGGGCTTCGCCATAAGTCATCACCCTGATGACATCTTCCCCCAGAACTGGAAGGACGAGGTCATACCTGCATTGTGCCATCTCATCTGCTACAGTCCCAATTTTAAGGTACCTTCTTTCCTAATGGCTTTCTAATGAATTTTTTAGTTGAATAATAATATTCTACTCTTTTCTTGTTCTCGAGATACTCGAGATACAGAAAAATTGAAACAAAAAATTGTAATCAATTGTTTTAATGATTCTTTTTTTTCTTTTTTTTTTTTTTCATTCAGGTTAGGACGAATGCAGCCTGGGCTCTGGGATCCTGCAAATCCTACGGTAAATACGTGCCATTTCTGTGGAAAAGTATTGTTTTAGCCCTAGAGAATTCTCAACACGTCCCGAATTTTGTGGAATACACTCACAGGGAGAGTTTAGTGCAACAGTTGTGTCTCACCCTGGGACACGTAGCGGCCAGTACTGAGCCTGGTGACCTGCAGATCCTCTGGCTGGACATCAAAGACCATGTGGAGGAGATCGAAGTCCACATAAAAAGCTTCCAGGAGCGGGCACTGCCTGAGAAGACTGATGACTTTGTCAGGGCCAGGGCGATCCTGAACAACTACTCGCAGACAGTGTCGCTGCACTCTAATGAGAGGATTATCGCTGCGGTCCTGGGAAACTTGTTCAACTGCAGGAAGCATGAGCTTTTATGATGAACACTGTGGGCAAGACTGTGTTTGTGATTCAGAATGAAATATCGACTTTTATCATTTTCAATGGTTATGAATAATTTTATTTCAATTTTCAATTGATATGAATTTTCTCGTTTCTAAGAGTCTCTAACGTACCCTATTATTGAATTAATTGAGATGACACACTTAACCCCATTAAATGATGTAATTCACAGTTAAATGATTGTCTTTTTATTTCATTAATTTTTAATTTTTTTCATTGCCAGCTACATTTGTACAGTTATAATGGATAAACGATGGATAAACAGACTAAAGGATTTTTGAAGAGGGCTTTTTTATTTGAAAATTTTGTCAGTAACAAAAAATGCCTTTTGACATTTTTCTGTAGAGTCAATAGTTTTGGATACAATTGAGAAATTGTCATATTACTATTGTAATAAAACATTTTTATTCAATTGATTAAATAATTAATGCCATGTTGTATTTAACTATATTTAAATAAACATTGGAAAATGTTAATCTGGCGTTTTTGCATCACTTGAATTATTTTTTGTTTCAGTTTCATCTGGTTTATGTAAGGAACATTCACGATTTGGCAATTCTTCTGTGGATTTGGGAAAATTTCTAATGTTTTCTGTAGTGTTTGTGTTATTTTCCTGCTCTTCTTCGTCTTTTTCGTCCGACGGCAGTTGTTGGTCTCGAGATGGCGGAGATAAATTGTCCTCGTCACTCTCATCAGCTTGATCACTCAAAGCCTCGTTTTTATCACTTTCATCACCTCTTTTCGTGATTTTCTGTCTCTTCTGTTGCTTCTGCTTCTGCTTCTTTTGCAATCTCTTTGCTCTCCTCTTAGCTGTCAACTCCTCAGCTTTCTTCTTATTCTCCTCAATTTTTTTCTGATACTCTTCATCAAGAAGTTCCTGAAAATAATTTGTTTAAACAAGGTTTCAGTAAGATTTTGAAAAAATTGACCAACTTTCAATCAAATAAGTTTACAAATATATCAAAAACTGTTGTGACTTTAACAAAAACAATTCTCATATTAGAAAAAATATTTTTTTACATTTTCCTGTAAAACNAGAATCAAAGAAAAAAAGGAGAATAGTTCTTGAATGGAAAAAAAATTTCGTCTATTTGGGTTTTCAAATTAAGAAGATTTTTATTTTTAAATTGATATTTTTTCTCGTAAAAAAATGTATTCTACTGAGCTCATTGTTATTAAAAATATATGACCGCACATCATGTTTCAAATAATGTTGAATTAATGTTCAGTCACTCAGGAATTTTATCCCTTCAGAATTTTTTCACTTCAAAAATGAAAAAATTTCTTAATTAAAAAAATCAAAGTTTTTTTTTTTTTACAATTTGAAATTTTGGAAATTTCTCTTCTGAAATTCAACAAACACACTCGCGTTTCCATGATAACACATATAATAACTACGAGTTTCTGAAAATCACCGACTTAATTCCCAAAATAGAAACCTTTTCCTGAAAAAAAAAAAAAATTATAAAAAAAAAAAAAAAAAAAAAAACTTCAGATGGACTTGATAAAAAAGTAAAAACTACAATACAAAAAAATTGTACATTGAGATCACCTTTTTGCTCTTTTCCTGAATAAACTTCTGTCTAGCATACTCCTTCCTCCTGAGATGCCTGTAAACATGAAACTCTCCACTTCCAGCACCAGCACTGCTGCCCATAACATTTCGCACGAATTCGGGAACTGATGGAGTCGTTTTGGACTTTGGTCGCTCTGGGAGCAAAACCGGCCTGTCCTGAACCCCCAATCAAACCATCGATCAATTAAGAAATACCCAAAAAATCAATGAATAATTTCAAGACTCAACTCACAGGATTTTTCATCAACTTCATCAGTTTTAACCTCTGGACGTCAACAATTGTTTTAGCAACTACAGGTTTCTCCATTTCCTTGTCCTCTTCCTCCGCTTTTTTAGGCTTTGACATTTTTCGATATTGATCGCAAATATTGGTCAATTAATCTATTGATTATTGGATATTTGGATAATTTTTTATTGTAAATGTTTCTTTTGTTCATATGTACGTAAATTCCCTTATTGTGGAATATATTTGAGGTTATGGAATTACCAACGTATGTATGTACAGTCGTGGAAGTATGAACGGAGCCCTCCCACGTACAGCGAGAGAGAGAGAGAGTCCCTTGGGTGAAAAATAACAGTAGAGTTGGGCCCCTTTGTTGACCTAGTAGATATGCCAGCGCCGTATGTTCTATTGAGTCCGACTTACCTTGCAATGGTTGTGTCCTTCTCTCAAAATTATGAATATCCTACCCAGCGACCCCCTTGTTCCTTATATATATATCTCTTATATATATATTCCACTAGATGTGATTTTTCCAATCAGTTGTGATTTATTTGCCTTAATTGAGAGTGAAATAGATTTTTATAAAGACAAATCATCCAGAAAAATGAGAAAAACCATGTCCAAGTATCTTTTACAGTTTGCTATTCTACAGGGCCACACTGTAGATTCAAGCATTTTCAGTCATCAAATTTTTTATTAAAAAATTCAGACCTGCAAAAGTTTAAGCTCTGAAAGCTCTGATGTTGGACTACAAAAGTAGAAAGGCATTTCACTGGAGAAAAAATAAGCAAAGTAATTGAATATATCCTTAATGATAAATGAAATAAGGGTCGTTTTCATCTGTTAAATCCCTACCCNCCCCCCCCCCCCTCTTTTATTACCAAATAAAAACTCAACCCTTCAGTGACATGATAATTTTATTATGTTCAGTAAAATGAAAGTACCACATCAATAATCGATAAATAAAATAAAAAACTGACATACGTATACGTAACTCGTGTTTCCGGGAGGCAACGGCAGGTTCATCTTTATCTCCTTGATTTTAAATTATCGTTAATCACAAAATACAAATGTCAATAAATAACAAGAAAAATCGTTTGAACACCATTTAATATGTTCCTCGAATTAATTTGAAATTTGAAATTGAATTATACTCCCTTGATTACATCAATCCCTTGGTATTTTCTGTGTTAAACTTCCGCCAGTCTACGGTTAAATGTAGCTCTACTCGACTAAAATAATTCAACTTTAATTACTGTAGTATCTAGAAATTGCCATCAATTATTCAATTGAATACCATCTGAAAATCAAGTCACTACACTGTACTAATTTCATTCTTCCCTCAAATACAAGTATTTTACGATTACTTGAGAGTTATCCATTAATTTTCTTCACTCATTTTTTAATAAATTTCAATGAATTCGTTATGCAACTCTTCTCAACAAAATAATAATCACTACTGAACTTAATTTTATTCTATGAATCGATTGTTTTTGAAAAATCAGAGATCAGCTTTATTGGTAAATTTGTAATTTAAATACAGTAAAAAGCTTCTGGCTTCATGCAAAAATTCGAAATTGCCGGAATAGTAGATATCGAATCCATCAAAATAACTACATTGCCATTATTAATTATTTAATAATGTTATTTCCAACTGAAGTAGGAGCACGAGGAGGACTAACTCAAGGCTTTATCATTTATTCGTTATTTTTTTATTTAATTAAAAAAATTGAAAATAAAATTTGATCATCAGGAAGAATGGAACTCATCGTGTGGCCCACACTCGATTATTTGTTATTCAATCTTGATTATTGTTATAATTTTTTTTTTTTTTTTTTTCAAGGTATTTACAGGATCTGAAAGGTCGAGTGTCCAGTGCTCCATCAAGAAAGCTTGAAAAAATTTACATCATTTTTCCACGTCCTCCTCTCATTGTGCCTCCTTAACACCTCTCAATTTTGTTTTCATTTTTTTTCAGTTTTTTTTCTCAAGATGGTGTAGCTGATTACCGTGAAACGATATTTACTGATAATAATTACTATACTTTATTATAAATTAATTAAAGAGCTTATGATTACGTGTTTATGTGATTTTTTTATCCTTTTATATATTTTTTTGTTTATAGTTATAAGTAGTAGCATGTACGATAGCTTTTTTTTTTGAATTTTTTAATAATGTTTTTCCTGCTCTCTTGCAGCTCACAATTCGGCCCATTATTGTTCTCTCTCTCTCTCTCTCTCTCTCTCTCTCTCTCTCTCTCTCTCTTGCTCGCGTGGATTTTATTCCAACTAATGGAGGATTTTTTCATTCAATTTCTATCCTCTAGAGTAATTTTGAAATAATAATTTGGTTTGAGGTTTATTTTTCAGTAGGTCTCTCGGTGTTGTGAGGTTTTCATGAGGAAAATAATAATGGCGAAAGAAGTATTAATGTGTTAAGAGTTTTATGTAAACTTGAAAGCTCGGTGACTAGCGACATTCCCAAATCTTCACTGTCTGGTCGACGCTACCTGTTACCACGTAGGGGTGACTCTTGTGAAAATCTGGAAAATAAAATTGCATATTGTATTAATTGAATAAATTAAAAATTAATTTCATACTAAACCAATTCAGTACTAAATGTCATTGAGTCTTCAATTAAATTAAAATGACACTTTTTGGCATTCATCACATTGAAACTATGAAAAAAATAATGAATTAATGATCAAAATTCTTCTTCAATTTCATTCTCTCATGTGAAATAAAATGATATTTTCAATGAAACTCACCAACTGAAGTACAGAAATGTACATGCGCCTCAAGTGTCTTCATAGCCCTCTTATTGCGAGTGTCCCATACTCGTAATGTCTTGTCATCAGACACACTGACGATGAATTTACCACCGGGATGAAAGACAATACCACGCACCCAGTTGTCATGGCCATGAAGTGTGAACAGACACACACCAGCCCCAATATCCCATACGCGAATTGTTTTATCACGTGAACCTGATGCCAAGAAGGGGCCCTCGTGTGCTCCTTTGTTGTCAGCTCCGGCAGCTGCATTTATCGCAGCTCTTGCACTCTCTGGTGCCCAGGCAATGCATTCAACTACGTGTTCGTGGTCTCTCAATTCAACCTGCATCCATTTCAAAAATAATTCATTAATCAAGTTCATCAAAAAAAAAAAAAAAAAAAAATGATAATTTATACAATGAAAATTTTTGGAGACTCCAGGGCCTATTATGAAAATTAATAAAATAATAAACAGTCAAAATCACGTTCGAAAGACAATCCACCCAGGCCTTACAAAAAACAAACAATTTATCGATGACTTTATTTTTAAAAAATGTAAAATTATTTAAAATTTTTAATTGAAATAATAAAATGATTATCGAGAGAATGAAATTTCGCTTAAAAAGAAAATTGTAGTCAATAATGAAGACATAAATTTTCAACTGACTTTGGTTTCTTTCGACGCCATATGCCACACACGAACAGTCTGATCATTAGAACAACTGGCAATGAGTTCTCCACAAGGACTGACCCTTGCCATCCTGACCCACTCCCTGTGTCCTGTCAGTGTTTTAACGCAATATCCAGTAGCGACTTCCCAAATCTTGATGGTCTTATCCCTGGATGCACTGACAACGAGATCTCCCCCTGGCACGAATGACACAGAGTTGACGTTGTGATCGTGTCCATGCATTGTTTTGACGCATGCAAATGACTGATGAAAGTCCCATAGTTTTATCGACATATCGGCACTGCACGAGACGAGGAGTTTGCCTGTTGCATCGAATGCCACGTCCTGGACACTGTCTGTATGGCCTTTTAGGGTTCTTTCGAATTCACCAGACTCGAAATCCCAGACCTTTAATTATATTAATTTATTGATTTATCTCGATAAATTAATTCATGACCAATTGAATAATTAATAACTAATTTACCTTAATAGTTGCATCTTCACTAGCAGAAACAATTAGACTGAAGACTGGATGAAAGATGACTCTGTTTATTGGAGCCCTGTGACCAGTAAGACAGTGTTTCTCCGGTGGCCTTGGTATCCACTCTGACGACGAGCGTTTACCCCTCGTTGGTGCACCCTCGATAAATTCTTTCTCCGCTTCTGACAGCTTTGACTCCAACTCCATGACTTTTTTCTGGAGTCGAATGACAGATGTCCACTTCTTCTCGAGGAGACCTCCGTACTTGCGCTCAACCTCCCCGGGCATATCTGCCTCCTTCTTGAATGCTTCCAGAGCATCCTGATATCCGTTGGTACTGAGGTAATCCGCAATCGCCTTATTTCTGGTGGCAAATAATTTTATTCTTATTCACTTTTTCTATCAATTTCTTTCTTCATTCATGTAATTAATTAATATCGATTTCAAGTTGATTCGGTAGTAATGCCTATTGAAGGTGCATGGTGCAGGGTCACAGACTATTTTTCTACATCTCGTAAGACATTTTTTACAATAATGTTTTTCGAGATGTTCTCATTATTCTCTCCCAATAATCTCATTATCTCTGATCTCTGATCAATAGATTATACTATAAATCCTTCAGATGTAATTACACCCTCCAAGGTTCAACGTTTAGGCCCTTTCTAACGGCATTCAAAATTCAATTTACCTTCTATTCTCTTCACAAATAGCCCTATAATCATCTCAACAAGGAGAAGGCGTTTCTGCAATCGTGGCAATGTTTTGCAGGTGGCGAATAGGTGGGGGGTAATGCCCCCGCCGTCCGTGCATTTGCTTCCTAGACTCAATTATTCATTGAATTCCGATTATTCACGTGCAATAGATAATTTCGAATTACTCGAGCCAGCCCCTGAGGCGGCCAAAGATTTCAGGGGAAAAAATTGCTTTTCGAGAAAGTGGGAGTGAGACAGAAAGTCGGACGAGATCTCGGGGTGAAAGGCACCTATACCACGGGTCGCGTTCTTTAGGTCGTTTGGATAGGCTCACGATGAAATATTTATGGATCAATTAAGGTTTTTAGGATTTATGAAAGCTGAAAATGCGCCAAGTCATTTGGCTATTCTTGTGGAGGGGGTGAGACGAATTTGCATGTTTTTTTTTTTTTTTTTTTGGTTATTTGTTATTTGATACAGAATTATTCTAGTGAAAAAAGTCATAAGATCTTTCTTGTAGAAAATTAATTTCTCCATAAAAAATATTATATCGCCTTCTGCATTTTTGTGCCCTTTTTTTTGAAATTCTCATAAAAAAATAAATCTTTAATTAGTATCATTTATAATCCAGATATTGACGTTATCCTCTCGCTCTCTCATTAAAAAATATCTCTCAACGAGTTAAAACCCACGAGAAGACGAAATAAACTCGGAAATGGCTAGCAGGGGCTCCATTGATCCCTCTCATCATAGGTAATTCCGTTGGTCTATCGATTGTAGCATCCGCGCTTGCTCGAGAAACCACCCCTCACCCTGACCGGCGCACAAATCCCCGCACCCTCATTGCATGACTCAGGCTGAAAAACCAATCTGAATTATCTGCGACTTGGAATATTCCCATTCTCGCCAAAAACGTGGTCTATCATATTTTTTCTGGCTTCTGTGTGATGACAAAATGATGCACTACATTGCAAACATGATGACATCACTGGAGAATTTGAAAAAAAAATTCTTTTACTTGATGTAATAAAATTTTTTTTCCATTATAAAAATTGACTTTTTTCACATTTTACACTATTAATAATATAATTTTTTTTCTTTGGGACATTTTATATTTAAACCATTTGATTTTGCTTAATTTTGAGCAATGAAAATTTTTCCAGATTTTTTGAAAATTGTCATTTTGTTTTTTTTTCTCTCCCATCATGTCATCACCATAAAAAGATGATAAAATAAAATTATTTCAACTTACAACTCCTCCCGCTGCCGTTGTGACAACACCATTTTCATGATCCTCGATGTGGCACAACTATTTTCCCCTGTTTTATTCCTCTTTCAGATGAAAAAAAAAAAAAATACCAAACAAACTTGACAATTTCCTCGAGTTCGAGACAAAATGTTCAGTTGATCGCCATCGGGAGCCCCTGAAAGCCAGAAAAATTGTGAAAAATTATGAAATTATTGTTTATGATTTATCAACTGATCAACAGGACTCTCTGGCACAGGAAGAGACCTTGACAATCGACTAGGAGACGTTTTAAAGCACATGGGGTGAGAGCAGACGGTTTTTGTGACGATGCGTGCATGCAACCCCAGTGTGAAATCGATATCCTCGGGTGATTCCTCACCCACCCCCGCAAGACCGGCCGGCGGCAGTCTATCTACGTATTCGCCGGCTTTGAATCCATTGAAATATTTATCAGGAGGTATTCAGGAGGTGGAATGTTTCCACTGCACTTGAAAGATGACTTTTAACAATTGATTAAGACTATTATTTATTGTTTTTTAAGTGAAAAAATGGTCTGGACTTTTGAAAAACAAGGGGAGAAGTGAGCTAGGAGATGATGGAGACTTTGCTTTCTACCTTGAAAAATTTTAATTGATGATTGAAATATTGATATGATACTTCAGATAGACAAATGAGGTGTGAAAAATTGTAAAAAATTGCCTGAATGAATGATTATGGATGACTATATAAGCTTTTCGAAAATTTCCTAGAATCTACATACTTTATTTTTTCGGTATTCCATCAGTTTTTACAATATATAAACAATCAACATTAATGAATGAAAAAAATAAATAATATTTTAAAAGTCGTTTTTGGTGTATCGGAAAATATCAAACTTGTGAATTTGTTAAAAGAATACTAGAACATTTATGGAGCTCTAATGAGCACTCAAATGATCCTTAAAACATGCCGGGAGTCATTAACACGTGGGAACGTTGGTAACAATAACCTGAGGATCTCCCACAGCAGAGAACAATCAATAGGAGCAGGAAAGGTAATTAATCCCTCAGTTCTAGGCATGAATCAGTTTCTGAACGTCAAGGGATGCAGAATTCTTCAATTATGACAAGTATTCACATCACTATTTTTGTAAATAGGAAATTTAATAAGTTTTTCTTTCGAAAAATAATTTCTCATCACAATTTCCCCTAGATCCCCTCAATCTCGACATAATTGTCAAATTAACAAATAAGGAGAAATAAATGTACCATAAAATCAATTTTTATCCATTTAAAAAAGATGAAATTTTCTAGAATTGGTGCCTCCTTTTTTTTCAACCCGAATCCTCAGAATAATAAAAAATTTCACTGAAACCCTTAAAAACCTCGATCCCCAGCCATAATCAATTCAGCCTCATCTCCCACCAAATTGAACAGTCTGACCGACAACCGAACAGCTGACCCTCCTCCCCCCAGTAATTCTCAAGAAAGCCTTAAAAAAATTTTAAAAACCCTCACAAGCCCCGATGACATTGAAAATCATTGAAAATTTTTAAAATTCAGACAACTATTATTGTTCTGAATTCTTAAATGCAATTTTTCTAATGTTCTAATGCCAAAAAATTAAAAATGTCATCATTAAAACGTCAATTTCATGGAATTCCATCAATAAATTTCAAAGTTCAATCCGAATGCACAACATTGGAAATTCAAATCTAGCTGTTTGTTATTTAATAAATTATGTAAAAAAAAATTTAATCCTCCTGCAATTTCCTCACGTCTCTCCAAAAACGAAATAAAAATAAAAAAGTTTAAAAAAAAAAAAAAATATATATATATATATGGATAAAAATCCTAATGAAAGCCCTGAAGACATGAACCCGAGTGTTCGCCCTTATGCAGAGGCTGTCAAAAAAAAAAATCGATGATCCCCTTAGGCCCCCTCATCCCCACCCCTAAAAAGCCACGGTTCCATTGCAATAATTGTCCCTGAAACCCCCTGGAATTTCGTGGACCGGAGACAATGATCAACTCCAATCGTCATGCTCCAACCGAGGATGCACCGCGAAATGGTTTTTGTTGTAAATCCCGCACGGCCATTTTGCTCCTGAGCCGTCACGTCTGGCTCTTGCATAAAATTTCAAAAATATCCCTTATTTTTTTCTAATGTATGTAATTCCATGACTTACGTGTTTGATTCGTCTACGTGTGATGTGGAGTGCAACGAAATCAACGGAAACCCCCCCCTCTGGGGATGGGTTTTTTTCTCAACGAACGTAAAAATGCGGATAACGAAAACCCGTGGCTTGCTTGCTGCTGGGATCACTCCTGCGATCGGACTGACGATGACTGCCGACAGCCGACAGCGTAGGAATGGTCGATATAACACAGGGTATCGATGTTTCATGGTGCGATTATCAAGTTTTTTTCAGACTCGATATCTCGGAAGATTCGGTACCTGAGAGGCACCTTTTTTTCTCTCTCTCAAAATTTTTTTTTTTTTTTTTTTTTTTCATTTTATTTATGCTGTAATTATCGACATTTTTTATCATCATCATTAATTTCAATATATATTATTATCAAATTTTTTTCAATTCTTTTTCTTTTTATAACATAGTATAACAATTTTTCAAAAGGTACCAACAATTTTTTCAACGTTTTCCGCGTTGACTTTTCGATCGATATTTTTATTATTCTCTACATTTTTCGATTTACTTATGAATGACGATTTCTAGCGATTCGAGATATCGATATATAGCTTTTTTCAAGGCTTGCAAGTTGCGAATGGCCGCGGCCTTATTCGATAGACACAGTGAGACGCATCAGGACGCATTAGCTTCCCGCCAAGAGAAAAGTTTAATGGTTATTATTTGGAAAAATGGACAACTTCACGGCCAGTCCAGCTTACAAGCGGTTGCAAATAATGAAAAATTATTACAAAAACCATTTTCCTATTACTCCCCTATGGAATTTCGTGCAGTCTGGAAATGGTAGGTTCTCCATTATTGTTATTATTATTATTATTATTAGCCATTTTTTTTTATTATACCTTTTTCTTTTGTCAACTAGAACAAAAAAGCTATATCAATTGATTTCTCCAATCGTCGATATATCTAAAAAGTGAACAAATCGATTCGGACACGAGTCTAAATAAAAATCCTTTGTTGTTCAGAAAGTGACTCCTTACAACGAGAGTTGGCTTTCGTATCCATCACCGGTGGTTGGAGTCGATTTCAATTTTTCAATGATGACAAACAATTACACCAAAGCCTGATCTCCAAATATCCCAAGAGGATTGACTTGGGTGCAAAGTACAGGCTCACCCCGAGGAAAAAAAAACCAGGTGAGATTGAAAAGAAAATAGCTGAGGAGCACGAACTAGTTTTGGACATAGACATCAATGACTACGACGAGGTGAGGACCTGCTGCAAGGGTCCAAACATGTGCGACAAGTGCTGGAAATTCATGGCAATTGCTTGTGAAATCCTCGAGGAAGCTCTGAGGAGGGATTTCCAGTTGAAACATATCCTCTGGACGTATTCAGGAAGACGAGGGATCCATGGATGGGTTTGTGATGAGAAAGCCAGGACCCTCAATTGGAAGGAGAGGAATGCAGTGGCCAAGAGCCTCCAGAGTGTGAGGTGCAAGTCCAAGGGGATCAGTCCCCAGGTGGAGAGGGCCCTCAACGTCATTAGAGCCCACTTTGAGGAGATTATTGAGGAGCAGGGCCTTCTGGATACCCCAGAGGGCACCAAGTACTTTTTGGGAATGCTGCAGCCGGAGAGCATCAAGACTTGTGTCGAGAGGGCGTTCATGTTGTGCAATAATACCCGAGAGAAACTGCACGCTTTCCAAGACTTGATCGTTCAAGTGAAAAAGAGAGAGGAGTGCTACCTCGTCGAAGAGGTGATGATCCAGTGCTTTTATCCCAGGCTGGATCTCCCTGTGACCACTCAGATCAGTCATCTTCTCAAAGCACCATTCTCCATGCATCCTGCTACTGAGAGAATTTCTATTCCTTTCCGGGCTGAGAGGGTCTGGGAGTTTAGGGTTCAACATGTACCAGTGATCAGTGCTATTGCTGGGCTTGAGGGGGAGGTCGAGAACAGGGAGGTGATGGTGAGCAACTTTAGGGAGGCCACGGATTTTTTTCACTCATTTGCTAAGGGATTGATTTCGGAGGCGATGGAGGCGATGGAGGCGATGGAGGAGGGGGCTGGCAGGCTCAAGGGTGGACAGAGAAAGTTGAAACTGAGGACGAGACCTGAGACGTCCAGGCCAGGTCTGTGGCTTGACAAGTTGGCTGCTTCTGCTTCCAAGGAAAGCCTTCCACGGAACCTTAAAATTCCTTCGTCGATTGGGATTGGGGAGGAGGCAAGTGCTTATTATCCTGCTTCTTGCAACAAATTGCAATTGGAATTCAACAATGCCAAGATTGGGTCGCCTTCAGGGCAAGTTGTTGGGAAAATTCTTCACAGCAGCTGTTTGTCTGGGGGTTCAGGGCCTGTGCTTGGTAGTAGCTATTTTAATATTGAGAAATGGGATCCTATGACATCGAACAGTCGCGATAGACTTGAAATTTTAATGAGTTTGAGACAATTGCCCATGAGGATAAGAGATAGGAAGAATTCTAATGCTACAGGCATCCAGGAGGTTCCAGTTGTCGAGCCCACAGCAGAGAATGGAGCAATGCCATTTAGAGCCTCTTTTGAAGAGCCAAACAACACTCAACAATATCCCAACTCTATATCTTCAGTTAATATTGAGGAGATTATTCCCAACGTCCCTCAACTCCTCACCGACACGCCACAAGCTGCCAGTTCAAATTTAAACAAGGCCGAAGCTATGAGAAAGTTGGGGCGGGGGATGATGAAAAGTAGACTTGAGACTACTGGAGGCTTCTCCTCGTCTTCACAGATACTTCTAGGTGTCGCGTCCACATCTAGAGCTTCTTCTGAAAGGCCAAACAATACTCAACAATCCGTCAGCTCTAAATCTTCACTTAAACAAGAGAATATTCCACAAGTCATGTCCAGAACAGAGGAGATGAATGAATTTAACCCTATTGCTTGTCGTAATAATAAGAGATCACTTTCTCCTCAGAGTAATTCTGGCAATTCATTCAACAAAAGAGGACGTCCGGTACCCGCTGACACATGTGCAGTGATCGATCTTACCTCAGATTCACTTTAGAAGACTAGAAGGCTTCAATTATTTCCTTCAACCTTTCTAAACCAGTTTCTCAGTGTTTCAAGTGGTTCGAGGATCCATTCCATTCAAGAGCTGATTGAAAAAAAAGTACCTCAATCAGGTAACTCTTGTGGAGATTAAAATGGGGATGAATGCTCAATGCATTTTTTTTTCAAATAATAATGGTATATTTTCCACCATTATTATTTGTGATTTTGAGGTGCTGTGAATGTTTTTTTTATAATAATTAGAGATTAAGGTCCAAAGTACTGATGTGCAAAAACAATTTTCTTTTCCATAAAATGGAGAACAATTGTTTTGTCTGATTATTTGTGCTGTGACTTGTTTAAAAAAATAGTCATAGTAATAAGAAAGTTCATGTTTTTTGTATTTTTCATACGTCTAAATAAAATTTTTAGAAAAAAATTTGGCATCATTTGCTCGTTAGATGATATTGACAATTATCTCCCAAAGTTGAAATTTTTGACAAAAAAAATGACTTGATTTTCTAGTTATCACTCACCTCCTCCTCCTCCACCACACCCCTCATTGACATTTGAATTTCGTAGTTGTTGAACCTAACCTTCTCTCACTCCGGTGTATTGTGTAATTCTTCTTCGCGCCATCTCGTCCTAGCAAACGGTTTTTTCTCCCCATTACCACATCCAAGCAGGAGGAGTAAGCGTCTCGAGATTATTCCATTTTTTAAAATTATTCCTTAGAGAATAACTGCTGAGAAAATGTAAACGAGTGATTATTCTGTTGATATAGAAACTTTGTCGCATTAATAAGAGAGAATAAAACGAGTGATATAGATTTTTATTATTTACCTTTTGTATCATCGGCGCATCGAGTGGGCTAACCTCGAAGCAACTATGGCGAACGTTGTTCTGGACAAGGAGACCTTTTTCAGACGTATGAAACGTCTGTACACAGCGTGGAAGGTATAGTTCAATAATAGGAGTTAAATTCAACAATTTTCATTTAATTTCATTTAATGAAATGAGCTTTGATTCTCATGGATTATCGTTGATAGGAAGGTGATGTGGGGGCTGACCAAGACAGCTTTACCAAGATGGACTGTCTGGTATCAGCAGTGGGTACCGACGAGGACATTGTCTACAGCAAGTCCATGGCCCTGCAGACCTGGCTATTCAGTTATGAACTCACAGACACCATTATGATCCTCGCTGAGGACTCGATCAACTTTCTCGCCAGCAAGAAGAAGATTGAGTTCTTGAGGAAAGTAGAGAGCGGAAAGACTGAGGAGACTGGGGTGCCTCCTGTGAAACTTTTTGTCAGGGACAAGAGTGACGAGGATAAAGCCAATTTTGTCAAGTTGATTGATGTCATCAAGGGCAGCAAGAAGGGCAAGACTCTGGGGGTATTCTCCAAGGAAAACTATCCTGGGGCATTTATGGACGCCTGGAGGGCTGCTATTAAACCAGAGAATTTTGATAGTGTTGATGTGAGTGCATCATGCGCCTATGTCATGTCCCCAAAGGAGGAAATTGAGATTTTAACAGTGAAAAAAGCCTGTCTTGTCTCAGTAGATGTATTCACTAAATACCTAAAAGACCAGATAATGGAGATAATTGACTCGGACAAAAAAGTTAAGCACTCGAAATTAGCAGAAGGTGTTGACCAAGCCCTCACCAACAAAAAGTATGTGACAGGAGTGGATGTCTCCCAGGTGGACAACTGTTATCCAGCGATCATTCAGTCTGGTGGAAACTACACTCTCAAATTCTCAGTGGTTTCAGACAAGAATAACCTCCACTTTGGTGTGATAATTTGTTCGTTGGGAGCTCGCTACAAATCTTACTGCTCCAACATTGTGAGAACCCTTCTGGTGAATCCCACCAAATTCATCGAGGACAACTACAATTTCCTCCTCAATCTCGAGGAGGAGATTCTCAAGAAGCTCACAGCAGGAACTAAAATAAGTTCAGTTTACGAGACTGGTATAAAGTACGTAAAGAGTGAGAAACCAGAGATGCTAGAGCACTTGACCAAGAACTTTGGTTTCGCCATGGGAATTGAGTTCAGGGAGTCCTCTCTTCTCATTGGTCCCAAGACACATGCAATCGCCAAAAAGGGAATGGTCTTCAATGTCAATGTCGGACTATCAAACTTGTCAAATGCCGAGGCAACAGATAAGGAGGGCAAGAGTTATGCCCTCTTTATTGGGGACACTGTTGTCGTCAATGAGACGGCAAATCCAGCCACTGTCCTCACTACCTCGAAAAAGAAGATGAAGAACATTGGCATATATGTAAAGGACGAGGAGGAAGAGGAGGAGGAGGAATCGGGAAAGGAAAATGAGCCAAAACCTGAGATACTGGGACGGGGAAAACGAAGTGCTGTTATTGAATCCAAACTCAGAACTGAGCACAGCTCTGAGGAGAAGAGAAAGCAACACCAGAAGGAGCTTGCACAGCAGCTCAATGAGATTGCTAAAGCGAGATTGGCTCAACAGTCTGGGGGAAAGGAGCAGGAGAAGATCAGAAAGTCAACGGTTTCCTACAAGAGTCTCAATCACATGCCCAGGGAGGCTGAGGTCAAGGAATTGAAACTTTACGTTGACAAGAAGTACGAGACAGTGATACTGCCCATTTTTGGTACACCAGTGCCCTTCCACATTTCTACAATCAAGAATATATCTCAATCAGTTGAGGGGGATTACACTTACTTGAGGATCAATTTTTTCCATCCTGGGGCTACTATGGGAAGAAACGAGGGTGGCACCTATCCCCAGCCTGACGCCACTTTTGTTAAAGAAGTCACTTACAGATCTACCAATACCAAGGAACCTGGTGAAATATCAGCACCTTCATCCAATCTCAATACAGCTTTCAGACTGATCAAAGAGGTCCAGAAAAAGTTCAAGAACAGGGAGGCTGAGGAGAGGGAGAAGGAGGATCTTGTCAAGCAAGACACTCTGGTACTCTCACAGAATAAGGGCAATCCCAAACTCAAGGATCTTTACATCAGACCGAATATCGTCACCAAGAGGATGACTGGAGGATTGGAGGCTCACACCAATGGCTTCAGATATACCTCTGTTCGTGGGGATAAAGTTGATATTCTATATAATAATATTAAGAATGCATTCTTCCAGCCTGGAGATGGTGAGATGATTATTCTTCTGCATTTTCATTTGAAACATGCTATTATGTTTGGCAAGAAGAAGCACGTTGATGTCCAGTTTTATACCGAGGTAGGGGAGATCACTACTGATTTGGGAAAGCATCAGCACATGCATGACAGAGATGATCTGGCTGCTGAACAGTCGGAGAGGGAGCTCAGGCACAAATTGAAGACAGCTTTTAAATCGTTTTGCGAAAAGGTCGAGTCCATGACCAAGCAGGAGATTGAATTTGATACCCCTTTCAGGGATCTTGGCTTTCCTGGAGCACCTTTCAGGAGTACTGTTCTCCTTCAACCGACTTCTGGCTGTCTTGTCAATCTCACCGAGTGGCCGCCTTTCGTTATCACTCTGGAGGACGTTGAACTTGTGCACTTTGAGAGGGTCCAGTTTCATCTCAAAAACTTTGATATGATATTTGTTTTTAAGGATTATCAGAAGAGGGTGGCCATGGTCAATGCCATTCCCATGCACATGCTGGATCATGTCAAGGAGTGGTTGAATTCTTGTGACATCAGGTACTCCGAGGGAGTCCAGAGCTTGAACTGGGCCAAAATTATGAAGACAATCACTGAGGATCCCGAGGGCTTCTTTGAGAGTGGTGGTTGGACCTTTTTGGACCCAGAGAGTGACGCGGAAAATGAGGATGTCGATGATGAGGAGGAGGAGGAGGACGATGCCTATGAGCCTACGGATATTGAGAGCGAGGAGGAGAGCGATGATGACTCGGAGTATTCAGAGGCCTCCGAGGACTCGGAGAGCGATGAGGAGGAGTTGGGTAGCTCCGAGGAGTCCGGCAAGGATTGGAGTGACCTAGAGAGGGAGGCTGCTGAGGAGGACAAGGAGAGGGGTGATGGCACCTTTGGAAGGAATGAATTCCCCAAGAAGAAATCTGAGCCCTCGAGATCCAAGGATAAACACAGGCACTCAGGGAGCTCCAAGGGAAAGGGCTCGTCGTCTTCTTCTTCGAGGGATAAACACAGGTGGGAAATTGATTTTTTTTTTTT